ATTTTTGAAACCGTCATCTGTAGGATCATCATGTTTTTCGGTTCTATAATATCCAATAGACGCAAGAAAATGCGATTTAACGTTGTCGGGAAATGACAACTCATTAGTAATATATGCTTTGTAAGGATAAAGAGTACCACTATCGTAAACCTCTGTATTACCAACAGTCACCTTCAACTGTTGAACAAATGTTTGACCAATACCTTGAATCGATCCAATGCTATTATCGGTTGCTTCAATATCTACCCATTTACCAGTAGCTCCCAACTTTTCAATTGATAGCTCGAGGTAAAGATATGTTCGGGACAAGTCAGTCCAAAGATTATCACTGAACAATCGAAACAAATATGGGGAATCTTGTGTTATTGTACTAAGAGGTAGAATTTCTCTAAAAAAGGACCGGACAACAGAAACGTTTGTAGGAGGTACAGAAAAAATACTTAATGCACTATTCAGTGCCAACGGACTGTTTTCATTAATTTGTTTTGGGCAGCTCATTTTAGTATGTTCCTAACGTATCTACTCGTAATCGTTTTTGGGGACGGGATTTTTTGGTAGATTTTTTAGAATATTTTTTTTTGAAATTGGGAATAAAATTTGGAGGACCGATTCGAGAATATGGATGTTTATTTATAGTTTTTGGTTTAAGATCCGGTATTGCGTCATTCATTTGTCCAATGGCAGGAGACTTTTCTATATTTTTGTATCGTTTAAAATCAAAACCTTTTCCACTTTGTTTATCAACATTTTCAGCTGCTTTTTGCAGTAATTTTTTCAAGCCTGATTTACCTTCAGTTACAAGAGATTCTTTAAGATTTTTTCCTTCTAAGACATTGCTTAAAACTCGATTACCGGATTCTAGACCCTGTCTTCCAATAGCGCTACCAATTTCTTTACCAATCGGGATTAAATAACGAAGAAAACTTCTAAACACTGACCCCAATCCATTACCTCTTTGGTAAGGAACGCCACGAAAAACATTATAGCCGCCCCATTGATTGGGGTTTTCAGTTAATGTTGACCAGTTTATATTTGCAGGATCAAAATCAATGTGCATTTTTATGTTAAAAGTATATTATTAAAGCCACTATTTATATTAAATATCTGAGTAGTAATAAACTCAGATACAAATTTATCAGCATTAATTCCTTTTAGTAATGAAATGATTTTATTCATTGAAAAACCTAAGCAGCGCATATAAAGAAAAAAGATAACATGATTCCCGCATGTACTAGAAAATGGTTGTTGTACCATAACAGAATTAAATTGAACATTGTTAAACTTATCTAAATAGGTTCTAATATGATAACTTATCGGTGGCCAGATACCTAACGAGTCATAGTATTCAATACTATTAGTTGAATTGCAAAATAATGCTATCCAATGGGTTCCAGATAAATTGCTAGGATCTGTGTTAACTACGACACAGAACGGAAAAAAGTTACTCCTATAAGGAATACAGTCTGAAGCAAAACATCCTACATAAAATCTTTTTGTAACAATATTTCTTTTTAATATTTTATCAATTTGAAGGTTATTCATTGTTAAAAGTATGTAGCTTTTTTAAAATGTAAAGTTAATGTACATGTTCCATATTGGAACGGCATCAATGTCCCACCAGAATTTCTAATTTCAATAAAAATTTCAGAAATTTCTTTTACAAGTAGTTTATGGTATTGAACACATAAAAATTGTTCTTCAATTATTTCATCTTGTTTACCTCTAATTGTTACAATTCTAAGTACTGGTGCTGTCACATCGCCTATAACCATTGGTTCAATTAATCCAGGTGCATAAACATGGAAGCAGGACACACCTCCTCGCATATCAGGCATAAAATTTGCAATACAAGTTTCAGTTAAAATTTGCCGATCAAACCCTAAGATATATGCAAGCTGCTCAGTTAATTCAATTTTTTCTACATATTCACTATCGATATGCAAGGAAAATCTATTTTTATAACTGTGGAATTCAAAATTGCATGCTAATCTAGGTTTACGAAATACTCTTATCCAAGGGTCGAATCCAACTTCGTTAGTTACCGAAATAATTTGTTTGAAATCAGAAGTCATTTTTAAATTTTCGATATTCACCAAATCAGTAAAAATTTCATCTTCACTTTTTAAACTAGGAACTTCAGTATCTTCACTAATAATTACGTGTTCTTCTGAAGTCACGTTAGATACTGGTTCGGTCCTTTTCTGAGAGAGCTCTTTTAATCGTTTATACTTATCTTTAGCCTGGGTGCGAAGTTCTTTTAATTTGTTTGTATATTCAATATGAAAGCTACGAAATTTTTCAACAAGTGCTTCACTTCCTTTGTTTAAGGATCTATCCAAATTATCTTTTAAATGTTGGGGATTAGTTAAGGTATTGGAAGGAACCGAAAATTGAACTACATCTCCACTTTTCCAATAAACAGTTACAGTTTGTTCGCTATTAGTACCTAACGACGGCCAGGAGTGGGGATAAACCATAACGGCTAGGCCGACATGCCACTCAGAATTAAATTGCAACTTATGAGGTAATCTAACTCGAAAGGAATTTGTTCTATTTCCTTCGATGTTAGTGTTAGAAGGAATAATAATATAAAATGAAGTCATTTTTTACAAATTAAAAAAAAACTTATTTATGTATAATTATTATCTCCAAGTTATAGAATTAGCGGGTATCCAACTGTTATGTTCCGGACCATAACCTTTCCAACTTACAAAAACATAATCTTCCCCATCACGCTTTCTTTTTTTCAAAACTTTATTAATGTCATATAAATTTTCATCCTTTTTAAAATTCTCTTTTACTAAAATTAGATCATTGGAATAAAACCAGCCTTTAATTTGTTCTCCATTAGAGTCTTTAATTTTGTATGTAGGAGGCTGATAGGGAACTAAGCGGACTTTATCAATAACAAAAATTTCATTTGTGAAATTTGGCAAATAGCCTTTTTGAAATATGTGCTTATATTTTTCTATTCGTACTCTATCTCCTACTGAAAACTTCTTTCTTTTCCATTGAGAAGGGGCATGTGTTTCAATTGCTCTATTCTTTAGTAATTGCCTTAATTTTTCTGCATTTTTAAAATTGACATCAGTTGGGCGCATACCTATACTGGAGTTAAATGAGTTATTTATTGAGCTAACAATTTTTTGGATAACATCCACCCATTTTAAAGTTTTATTTTCTGTGAAGTACCTATATAATCTTTCCTTAATGCTCCTGTTCGCTCTTTCTGCCATCCCCGCATGCCACAGAGGTGAAGTAAGCATAGAGAAATGTTCCATATCCAAGGACTTGAAGTATTTTTGTACTTGTTTAGCAGTAAATTCAAGTCCTTGATCAGTTAATAATTTCCATGGAATGACTTTAGTACGAGAAAATAATTTTTTAAATGCATCTATCATATTATCACTATGTTTACTCTTTACAGGTTCGACAAATATTTGACGACTGAGTGTATCTATACACACTAATAAATATTTGTATCCTTGATTTTGTTTACATATACGATTAAAAACACTCAAATCTGCTTGCCATTCTGTATGAAGTCCGGGAGCTAAAGTTGGCATTCTTTTATATTTTCTAACAACTCTTCTATGAAGAGTATTGACACTTTGACTTGATAGATAGTCCTTGACATCTTGTCGTGAAATATTTTTATCAAGTTTCCTAGCTGATAGCAAAAGCGGTTCAAGAGAGGTAAAACATGTTGAGGAATTAACATTTTTATATAATTTATCAAGTATTTTTATCTTTTTAGTAGTTAACGCTACTGCCATAAGGACGGTTTATAAGAAAATACTTGTTTGAAACAACCACCTTCACCTTCTTGTTTATTAGTAGTTTTCGACGGAAAAAGCAAATTTTGTAAAACTGTATGTTTATTTATTCTACGAAGAAATTCGTCGTAACCAGTTGGAATTGGTCTTTTACGCTTATTCTTATTTTTAAGTATATGATTTATAAGATCTTCTATATTACTTGTAATGAATGAATCTTTGCTGCCTATTTTTCTCGCTAATTTTCCATTTGGCAAAACACCTAATTCACCGGCATGTTGTCTTATATATTTCAATGCTTGTTCTTTTGGACTAGGCTCATTATCGGTATCTGCCGATAAAAATTCATCTTCCTCTTCATCACTTTTATCTTTTACCTCACTTTCATCAGCTTCAACTTTAATATCTTGAACAGGATATTGTCTCCTTATACCAACTTTACCTAATGATTTTTTATGTAGTTTCTTTTTTATTATAACTTTACGGGGTGGTTTTTTAATAGGATCAGCAATTGCTGCTAATTGAGGTTTGTGGTCAACATTTTTTGAAACCACATCCGCTATTTCTTCAAAATTTTTCAATTTAACATCAATAGGTTTTTCCTCCTTCTCTTTTAAAAGTTTATTATACCTTTTAAAATCTTGTTCATAACGAATTGCCCTTGTTGTAGGATCTAATATTTCTTTATTGGCACTAGTATTTTGCAAACGTTCCTTTATCAAACCTATAGCAGTCCCATCTCCGCTTGAAAGTAATTCTTGATTTTCATCGAAACCCCCAATTATATTTTTATAAATGTCTTCGGGGATTAGAAACATTCTATTTGCATTCTTCATAACTGTATTATTTCATCAATAATTTTTTATTTATATTATTTTAAAATTTTATCAGTAATTATTGGGATAATAAGGCTAGCAAGAAGCCCAGCAACCGGAGGGATTCCATTTCCTTTTTGCAATAAAATTCTCGTAGATGGGGCACTTCTGGATCTACTTATTTTACGCAACAAATTTGCATGTTTTTGCAAAGTTGTAATTCTATTTTTATGAAAAGGTAAGCGTCCTTTTAATAAATTAAAACAAATTTCCACAAAACATAACAATTGTTCATCTGAAGCCTTATCTAGTAAATTCTTTAATACTTTATTCGACTTCGAACAATCAAAAATCGAACGCAAAAAATTTGAATTTCGCTGTATTAGAGTGCTTGTATAAAATTTTTTCCTCATTTTGGAATATAAACTATTGTTTTACTCTCATCATCACGATATATATGTGTTCTAAGTCTTAACAATTCAGGTGTACTAGGATGTATATCTACTAAAAGATATCCGAAATTGTCTTTAGTAGCATCCGAATACGCCTCTAAGAAATATTTTGAACGTGAGGGAAACAAATGGGAAGCAAGCGTTCTTATCTGCAAGGCTCCAGCAGGATTTCGCATTAACAACAAATAGTGTGAATTATTACGAGCTATTTTTAATTCTTTGCTAAACAAATGCTGTGTTATTAATATAACACTCATTTTCCAATTATGAGATCCTTTCGTAAATATTGTATCTAATAGATTTTGATTCATCCCAACCATTAAGTCATCGAGTACAAGCAACATTTTTCCATTTGATTGAATGGCCTTTGTACGTATAAATTCCTCACCTCCTACTGGCAGACCATTATGAACTATTACTCTTGTCTTACCTTTATTAACAAACCCTATTCTCTGCATACGTATAATATTTTTATTTAACTCCCCATAACAATATAGGACCAAATCAATTTGATATTTTCCCTCATTGTCATCTGGAATCATTTCAGACAAGTTTTCTAGAAATTTTTTAACCCATTCTGATTTACCAGATCCTGTACTCCCCGATACAATCATTGTAAAAAGGTGCTTGAATCGTGAATGTATTAAATCAAATTTTTCAAATCCTGACATTTTAAAATTTTATTTAATTTTTATAAATAAGTATATATAGATTTAGGAATTTTGCAATTAACAAAATGAATGTAATGGAACTTCTTTTCACTCTTATGGTCTGGGGAGTTCTCGAAGACGACCCTGAACCAGAACAGCAACAGAATACATCAAACGAATCTCAGACGGACCAGCCACCATTAATAGTGGTTGAAGAATCTGGAGACGAAGTTGAAGAGAAGGAAAAGGTAAGATAATTTAAATAATTAAATTTTTAAAATTTTAATTTTAGAAAGGTGTAGATGTTATTACCCCCGCATTTGGGCTTCTTACAATAATTGATGATATAATAGAAGATAAAATGGATGAGGAACAAATTGAAGATGAAATTAATATAGATACGAGCGATAAAATCCTACGAATTACTCAGGACGACAAGCCTTTGGATTGGACTGTTGAACCAGAAAATCCTTTTCGTGAACCTACACCGACAGCAAAACAAAATGAAGATATTAAATCTAAAATTCCAACAACATCTATATCAATACGTTCTAAGACACATTTACCTATTCCTTTAATTGAGTATCTTTGCCAACTACGAAATTGTTCGTTCAAGGAATTACATGTACTATTCCATAATATTGATGCTCGTCGTGAAATTATTGAGCATTTACGCCAAAATGTGCAGTTACGGACATCTCATCTAAAACCAACGTGTCGCAACTTTATTGTACATTGTCATGACCTTACAGTGCAATCAGCAAGTATTGTTCCAGCAATGAGTGGTTATTTGGGCATAACTGTAAGCTTATATTCAAAAAAACTAATATCATTTCTTTATTTTAGGTCCGCGGATATTATTATGTAAAGCATAATTTCAAACTTTGTCATCCATATTTACCATGTATTATTGAGTTTGGTGGAGGACATCATCGATCATTTTACCCTCTTGAAGTCCTTTGTGTAATCCGAAACAAAATGAAAGGAGGATGTTATTAGATAAATAAATAAAAAAATTTTTAAAGTTAAAAACCACATATAAATTGTTTTTTAATTTTGTAATCTACAATTAAATTGTCTTTATTTTTTAGTAAGTAAATATTATGCAAATATATAATTGTACAGTTGTATTTAAACTCTTTAAAGACAACGTTAAATTTTCTCAAGAAAATTATTTAAAGCTTGCAAGATTTGGAATTAATACTGAATATAATCCTAAAAGATTCCATTCGATAATTATGCGACTACGACACAAAGGAAATAAAACAACGGCAGCACTAATATTTCAATCGGGAAAAGTCGTTTTAACAGGCGTGCCTTCTCCCGAATTAGCAAATGAAACAGCATGGAGAGTTGTGAAAAGTATTAGAGCTTCCAATTCTGCGGCAGGGAATTTCCAGAAAATTGGAATTAATAATCTTTTGGTTACGAATATTGTCGGAGCCTACAGGCATGAACAAAAATTAGCAATTGAGAAATTATTTAAACAACTTCGACAGCAAAATATTAAAGCCAATTACGACCCTACAATTTTTCCTGCACTCCGTTTCAAAATAAATGTGGAAGAACGAGATGGAGAAGTATCATGTCTATGTTACATCTCAGGACGTGTGATACTAACGGGAATAAAATCTATTCATGAAATGAAGCATGTTTTTAACAATTATATTTTACCTAGAATTAAAAAATTTCCACGAACATAATTTTTTTATTTAACAAAATATATACAGAATAAATATTAATAAAAATATAATCAAAAATGGTATCTATTTCTATAATCATTTTCTGTCCATCCGGACGACCCAGGCAAATCTTGCAAATTTAAAACATTTGTATCTAAACGGGATCTTGTGTTTGGTGGTGGTGGTGTTGTCGTTGTATTTGGTCGTTTTTGTTGAAGCCTTTGTCCTACTGATGCCTGTAAATTATATGTTATTTAAAAAAAGCTAAGAAAATTTAAATAACTATATTATTCCTCCTGTGCCCAAAAGGAAGAGTTTCCATTCCAGGCATAATTCTACCCTTTTCATAACATGGCCTGTATTCCTTCCTAGCCAGATGGGTGTAAAGCTGAGACCGACGAGTTCTTCCAATTTGAGGGAATTGTACACCAATTGAATTACCAACGGAAAAGACTTCATCGGCAATCGTGTCATCACTGAATATATATTTTGTATTTTCTTTAAATTAGTTGATAAACTCACACTGCTCCATCAACATTGAATTGGTTCAACACAAGTTGTTTCATAGTGTTGAAGTTAAGGAGCTGATGAGTAGCATAAGAGAGCGGGAATGACCGAATCTTAAGCTCAGCTCTCTCGTCTAATCCTGTACTTGCGTCGACGTGTCGGTAGCCATAATTTTTCGGCCCCCCAGCAATAAATTCCAATATTCGGCGTGATGGAACTTCACGCTTCATCTGACCAAGATATTCACCTTCAGATACACGCTGGCCATTACGCTTTCCGACATAGATGATGGAGTCAGTATCGCAGTACAAGAGGACGCCGCCAATTTGATGTACTTGTTCAATATACTCATATAGATGGAGTCGAGCATATGAAGTGACGTACGCTGCTACTGGAAGGCAGTTGGTATTTGGTGCTTTGGCAAATTCCGGCTTCTTCCTCACAACACAACGGTCCAAATGCTCGCTGACATGATCAAAGTCGAGCATATCAATTGTTGGGTCTTCTAACAATTGGTGAAACTCTGCCGGTGTTTTGGCATATCGAACTTCAGTTCCACAAACTCGTTGCGCCAGTTTTCCCCAGAGCGAGTTTGCTAATAATTTCTGAAAATTTAATTTATTTTGAATATTTTTTTTCTAAGATAACTCACCGCAATCATTCGCAAACCAGGATTTGTTTCAATCTTCTCTGGGTCGAGGAAGATTCCTTCAACTCGTTCAAACTCAGCTAGGTAGTCAGCTCGGTCCATCTCCGAGGCACAACCATCTGGCCAACCACTAGCCTGTTGTTTCAATCCAATAAATGTGTTGACATAGGATCGAAATAGATTCGGATCCCATTTTTCATAATTCCAAACCTAAATATTAAAATAAGTTAGTTATGATTATTAAATTGTCACCTCATAAATGTCGACGACTTTATACCCACGTTCCAAGGCATAATTAAGCTCTACGTGAGTATAGCCAGTTAGCCAGGAACGTTCACGTTCTCCATGTGTGCAAGGCCGTTGTTGTCTATTATCTGCACATTTTGCACAAAGGGGAAAAGTGAGGCGACCATCATGAGTTCTGTATGGAAGAACTGGTGGAAGGTTCCCATTCATAAAGTTCGGAGGTTGAACCCGAACAAGAAGTAAACCCCTATAGATGTTATGCTCTGAAGATGTCCAAGGCAAAGGGTTGTTTGGTGGAAGAAGCAATGTGTCACGAGTCAGTATATTCGGATGCCCAATAGGAAAAGATTTTGCCTTCATAACATAAGGGTAGAGACTTAATTAAAAAATTTTTATGATTTCTTTAAATTTAAATATAAGTTTACAATATCGATGTAGAGGATCTCCTCATCTTCAGCACATGTATGATGGAGTTTGAAGGGTTCTGTCCTTCCTCCTCTAAGGCAATCTTCTCTGGGATCCATTGGCCGTACAGAATCAATTTCAAACCATTTTCTTCGTAACTGAGTGTTGTTTCTCAGTTTTTCCTTGATTTCATGTCCCCAGACTACGTGAATTTCATATCCATGCTGATGCTCCAATTCCCATAGGCGTTGTTGAGTTCTTTCAAAAAGCTCTTCTGCTGTACGACCAGCTGCTAAGCGTTGGTCACGTATTGGGAAGCATTTGGGACAGCCTTAAAATTTTATGAAATTAAAAAGTTTATAAAAACTCTATACCGTGATAGTAACATCCCATATATTCAATAGCTAAAGGGCGAAGCGGGGGCGATCTTTGCCATAATCCATCAAGTCTATAACCGCAGTCTTCAACATGAGCTTCTCCAATTGCCCATTGGGCATGTTGAATATGACCTGCAGACTCTGGATGTTGTAGTTCAAAAAAGCGGATGTATCGCTGTGATTCGGCTGAAGCTCTACGTCCTCGCAAATAACCTCCTTCAGGCGAGTGAACAATCCAATTTTCAGGTAAAAAACAGCGGCGCATTGTTGCTAACGCGAGTCCTGCTGCTGTTGATACCGTCAAAAAAGGGTCAAGATTCTTTGTGTTTTCTCCAATAAGTTGTCTAAATCGGAGCACGCTCTCACGCAGAATCGCCACATCGTTTACACAATAAATAATTAGTTGTTCACGAAGCTGGAAGTTTGTTGTTGTTTGGACGGATGTTTGTTGTGTATACCATTCAATGAGCTTTTCCCTCTTTTCAGCCTTCTTATATTCAGGTTGGTAATATTGAATTGCAGGGAGCCCTCTTAGCCTATAATGAAGGTGTTGTCGTTGAATAAAGAGATAGGGAAAGAAGGGCTTTGCAGTAGCCAAATCCTCTGGCAAAGCAAAAACCTTTGTAAGTGCATCAAGCTCGCAGAAAAAGTAGTTTAACGAGTCCTTGAAAAGCACTTTTCTTTGGTTGTTCCCTCCAAGACTCATTGAATAAATTTTGAGTCCTGTTGTGCATATTCTTG